CCAACTTAAGGATCAACATCATGGCACACCGGTAGTAACCCATGAGTGCTCCGTTCTTCTTCTAACTCAAGTCAGAGTCCAAAGAAGCTCAAAACAGTGCATACTTTGGGTAGATTTTTAACTCCACATTTTGCCCGAGCAGTGCGTTAGGCTACTCTTTTTGATTTCCAAATTTCAAGTGATTTTCTATGTGCGCAATAATTCACACGGGCGTCCGGTCTTACTACCCAGAGACAGGGGGAATTACTAGAAGTCTAAGTCCACGTGAAAAAATCCCAGCCCTCACTGGGGATTGAACCAGGAACCTCTAGCACTCGAGGTGGACACCATGCCTCGAGACCACGTAACCCCCTCCCCAACTTGAAAAAAAAAAATGGTAAAAATTAACTCAGTATCAAAATTGCATGACACCACTTTGAAACTTGTTAGTGGACGTCCCCTCGTCTTGAAAATCACTGCATTAGAGTATATAAGTAAAAAAAAATTGTTTCTTATTCCAATCATTTGGTTTTTATTGTCAAATAATTCAAATTATTAAACAAAAAAACGTTATATGACAGGTCAAATGTATGTGCATTTTGTTTTTATGAACAGTCAATCAGTCAATACATTAAACCGTATTGTATTTACGACTTAGGCTAAAGGCATTTAGACTTATCTGCTACAATACATGTTCATTGTCCCCTAAACCATTGCTTATGATTCCAATACTTTTTTTTTTTTTTTTTGGTTGTCTTCCTCCTCCTCCTCCTCCTCCTCCTCCTCCTCCTCCTTCTTCTTCTTCTTCTTCTTCTTCTTCTTCTTCTTCTTCTTCTTCTTCTTCTTCTTCTTCTTCTTCTTCTTCTGTTTCTTCTTCTCCAGCCTCCTCCTTCTTTTCTTCAATTTTTTTCTTCCTCCTTCTATCCTCTTCCTTTCTTTTCCCATATGTTTCTTTCTTCCTCGCTTCTCCTTTTCTTCTCTTTATGTCTTCCTTTTCCTCCTCCTATTCTTTTCCTCCTTCTCCTCTTCCTTCTCCACTATATTCTTTTTTATCTTCTTCTGTGTCCTCATCTCCCGCTGTGCATCCTTGTTTTCCTCATTCCTTACTTCTTACATTAACTGTACATGATACAGGAACGTACTTTTTAAAGCAACGGATTACTTTCATTCTCCACAAATATCTGTAAAATTCACTAGTCTTCTCCCATGTGTAAGTAACACCTTCAAGAGTATAGGGCATATAGGGCTAGGCCTATATTTTTTTATAAACCAATCGGCACAAGATGGGTGATGTGGTCAGCATCACTCCGGTCGCCTTTACTTCCCGGAACTGCACCCATTACCCACTCAAGGCTGGTCATTTTTGAAAAAAGTCCTACTCCTCCAGGGAGCGAACCCACGACCTTCCGATCAGCAGCAAGCGTCTAACCGCTCCGCCACGGGGACTCCCCTTCTCCCATGTATACCTTTGAAAAATCGCTTCTTCCTCCATGTATCCTTCTGTAAAATGCGTTAATCTTCTCCCACACGTCCTATAAAATGCGTTAATCTTCTCCCACACATCCTATTAAATGCAGTTATCTTCTCTTCTCCCACATACACATCATCTCCTCGACTAACAACCTATGCGACTTAACGACCATGCGCACTTACGACCACAAAAATTACATTAAAAAAAAAAAAAAGTAAATAAAGAAAGATACTCTAACTACAATGGTAGGGTCAGAAGGTCCCGGAACTGATTCCTAGACAGTCGCCGGGTTTAGACATCATGCAGAGTCTGTTTGAGCCGACAGCGTATAGAAGACTGATTTTATAAACCGTTTGATAAATAAAGTGTTGACAAATATCAACTTGACTTACGACCAGTTAGTCGGAACGTAACTCGTCGTCAGTCGAAGAACCCCATGGCTTCTGTAAAATGCATTGGTTTTCTAATTGTATTCCATAAATAACACTAGGAGGGAATAAATTGCTCCTCAACACATCGCACAATCTCCGTGTCACCCGATAACAAACGTTTGTGAATTATAGAATACACATACACACATAAACATCCACCTAACCATTCTATGTGTTAACCCCTACCCCTTTTCCCATTTCACTGAGCATGGACAACGGCATCTTTTATACGATTTCTGACTGTCAGTAAATTTGTAAAGGTGCGTCTTGCACACAGGATCTCCTGGGTGTTTTTCCACTTCTTCTAAAGCCATATATTTTCTTTGGATTGGTTATAACTTCAGAGTGGAGGTTTAAAGCAGAGCTTCTGAAGAGACAGGGTGAGCCCTAAACTTGAAATTTATAACTCAGAAATTAAGAGAAAACTGTTTTAAATTGGTGTGATGTGATCAATATTACCACCACCCCCTCTCCCCCTTCCACAACCATCAATCAAGTCATTGTCCTGATCTTCATGTTAGACCGGGTCCAAGTGAGATCATTTTGTAAGGAAATACCTTGGTTGACTTTATTTGATGACATGCAACATTAAACAAGATATTAAGAATGTAGATCAAGCATGACAGTGGACACCATAAAAGACTACAAAGGAGTCCTAGAATGACTTTTCCAACTGACCTAGTTCGCTGACACGAGACGTTACATTTAACAGCGTTTCTAAAACTGATTTGAAAGCTCTATCTATGGAGTCCTCACACAAGTCTATATACAATGGTCCTTAAAATTAAAACATGTGTGTGCTTGTGTATCAGTTATTCTAAAAAAAGTACCCCCCTCCCATCTCCCCCCCCCCCCAAAAAAAAACGACTGTATAATTGTTCGATGTCATCACCACTGCCTTCAATGCAGCTTCTACAGCGTCGATAAAGGGCTTGGATTCATACAACAATGCATTGTTGTTTCATTTCTAGAGTGAGCTGCCAATGTACCCACCCTGCAGACACTTTGCGGTACTTTAGAACATCGTGTAACCAAGTCTATACATTCAATTATTTAGGGACATTCTTAACATCAGATGGACGAAGCGTGACATAAATTGAGAGCAGAATTGGCCAGACAAATGCAGCTTTTCAGAAGATAAAAAGAATCTTATGTAATAAGTCACTTTCATTAAACATCAGAAATCGAGTACTGACATGTTACATCGAACCTGTTCTGTTGTATGGCAATGAATCTTGGAATGTGAGGAAACAAATTAAGAAGAGTTTGGAGACAATTAAGATGTGGTTATTGAGAAGAATGTAACGAACACCTTGGACTGCCATAATAACTAACAATGATTGCCTGTAAATGGCTAATGAAAGTAGAACTTTACTTACAACAATAAGAAGGAGACGCACAGTTCTTTGGTAATGTGATGAGAAAAGAAGCACTGGAGAATATCGTGAAGACTGAAAAGATCACTGGTAGAAGAGGCAGAGACAAACCAAGAGAAAAGATAGTGGATGCCTAAAACAGTGACAGGGAGGAATATCATCAGTGGAACTGATCCAGAACACCAAAGACCGAGATCTGTGAAGATGAATGAACGCCAACTGACAAGGCACTTGATGATAATGATGAATAATGTGGTGTGTTGAGCCTTGATTGATGTCAAAATGTGCCACAATGTCACTCACCGATAACTGGTGGTGTTCCTGTGACAGGTCGTCAGTTTGTGCAGTCAGCTCTGGGGTCACTACATAGTGTGCCAGACCCGACTGTAAACAGTCTGTCACAAAATTCACAGTTTTATAACTTCCCAATCTACTCATGGTCGGATCTGTGGCTAAGTCGATACGAACGCTTCGAAATGCCGGGATACCGGGTTCGATCCCAGCTGCGAGCTATGCGCTGGTTTGGACAGTGGTATCAAGAAAGCCGACAGTCCAGAAAGCAATGGCAAATAACTAGACGTAAATTTGCCTAGAAAAACCACACAACAGCCAGGGGTTGTTGGGGTTGGTTCTGCAACGTCCTGTAAAGGATACGCAACTAACCAACTCTACTCATACACTTGCAGGATGAACAGGCAGGCATCACATTTCTGGACCTTCACATACGGATGAATGTCTACTTTAAAATTTAAAAAAAAAAAGGATAAAGAACGCTGTTTCTCTTTGGCGCATGTCAAAAACAGGACGTCCGTCTTTAAACTGTAACTGAGATGTGTTTGTCTGCTACTGCTATCATGTACTTTACACTCTTGACATTCTTAACACACAAAAATTGGCTACCTGATTTATGAAATTTCTGTCACACTCTTAAGGTTTTCATTTGAATGACGTCGTATGTGTATGTTATTATAGCACATAATACCTCTAGTATAATATTTTATGCATTAGGCTGTAGTGCAGATATGCGTCAGAACTTCTGTTAATCTAAGTCAAAAATAAAGAGAACTGATTCAAACTGTTTGATTTATAAACGTTAGTTTTAAAAGTAATGTAAGAAAAAAATAAAGAGCCAGTTTTACGTAAGCAGGGCTCCACGCCTCTCCCAATTGATTTTTCAAGCATACACACATCTCTGATTGTATCCTCTGCTTGAACCATCCAAGACTTTCCGCCACATTTAGGGCGGTATAGAACCAGAGTCGGCTCTGTGGCTAAGTCGATGCGAACGCTTCGTAATGCCGGGTGGCCGGGTTCGATCCCAGCTGCTGGCCATGGGCCTTGCGTTGGTTTCGACAGTGTTATCAAGAAAGCCAACCGTCCAGCAAGCAATGGCAAACTACTGGACGTAAATCTGCCTAGAAAAACCACACAACAGCCAGGAGCTGTTGGGGTTGGTTCTGCAACGTCCTGTATAGGATACGCAACTAACGAGTCATTCTTACTATGGAAGCCGACTCTGTGTAGGCAGGGCTATTCAACTGGAGGTCCGCGTACCAAAGCTGACTGAGGTTGCAACAGATTGCTTCTCTGTTAGAAGCATAAGGTTAGTTGGCAGTAATGCATGCTCATCGTTTTATTTTCAAGTCAAAGGTGCCAGTTTGCCGAGACACATCTTCGTCAGTTAGGTCACTAATATGAAAACATTGCTTTCTTGTTTCAGCCGGGCTGGTTGGGATTCTGTACATGACATCGCTGATATCTCCAAGAACTATTCTCTCACAGCAAGCGGCTCCTAGTGAGCAAGGTCAGCCTTATTCATTATTGACAATGAAAGTGTTAAAATGAGGGTAATTACGTTCAAGTGTATCTTTTCTAGAATAATTATAACAAGGAAATGGTGTTAAAGTGTTTTCTCTAAAAATGCTTAAAGTTTATTTTTTCTGTGAAAACTCATTAAAGCAATTGTCTACAATGTATCTCTAATCGAAGCTGTTAAAATTAAAAAATACTATTTAAGAGGCGGGAGCCCGAAGACAACTTATCACAGACATCAAAAGGAGACAGTCATCATTTTTCGGCCATGTTATGAGAAGAGGGAAAATAGAACATTTTGTGACTACTGGAAAGATCTGTAGAAGGAGAGATAGAGAAAGACAACGAGAGAAGATGCTTGACAGTCTTGTTGCATGGCATAGAGATGTGTCGGCACACGAACTGATACATGCTGCAGGAGATCGCAGATTATGGAGAGGCATGATCGCCCACGCCAGTCGGCAAGGCGCTTGATGATGATAATGATTTAAGTGTATCTTTGAAGACGATAGTGTTATATTGCGCTACGAGGAGGCATGGGACTAGCAGCCCATAGCGAAGGCGAGTGTGACTAGCAAGACCCGCCCGCATTAAGAAAAGTCTTCCACATTTATAGCATGGTATTTCAGGAGCTTTGTTGTCAGCATTAGTGTTTAGTGTGTTCCTTCTCAGATGCTCAGCTCTCATGCTTTCACTATTTGCGAAGGTGTTGGTTATACACAAGCAAACACATTTGGTTATAAAGTAAGAGAGGAACATCTTTCTGACCTGTTATCTCTCTGGGCTCATTTGAAAGATTGGGGTTAAAGTCCTACCTACATGTGACTTGGGGGGCTACGTGGTCTCGAGGCATGGTGCCTGCCTCGAGTGCTAGAGGTGCCGGGTTCAATCACCGGTAAGGGCTGGGATATTTTCACGTGCACTTAAACTTCTATTAATTCCCCCTGGTCTCTGGGTAGTGAGATTGGACTCCCGTGTGCATTAAAATATCCATTGGCAGTTGGAAATCGAAAAGAGTAGGTAGCCTAACGGCGCTGCCTGGGCAAAATCTGGAGTTAAAAATCTACCTAAAGTATTTCAGGATTCTCGCCGGTGCAACAGATCCTGTGCACTGTGCTGAGCTTCTTCGGACTCAGACTTGAGTTGGAAGAAGAACGGAGCACTTATGGGTAACTATCCGTGTGCGATGACGTTGATCCGTGGTTTCCTGAGGTTGGGGTAAGCTAAAATAAAAGTACATAACCCCCTATTTTTATAGACCAATCAGCACTCAATAATGATATGGTCAACATTACACCAATTACCTTTAATTCCCTTGACATTTCCTTAAGTCAATTTTAGCCAATCGTGATAAGATAAAAATAACTTTTTTTTTTTAAAAATCCAAAAGCAATGAGTTGTTAACCCTTACGCTGGGTATTATGGATATCGCAACCCTTCGGCCTTGATTGCATGATAAATACCTTCAATCTATGAAAAATGTGGCTTTTCTGCCTACCCCCAAGAGCGAACCCGGACCACAAGGATATCGTTACCCGGTCACCGCGCAGTCCGGTTTAGCCAACTACGCTAGAGAGCCGGGCAAAATAACTGTTTTAATCAGATAGCTATATGTCTAAGCAATCTTGCAATTATTTGCAGGTGCACTGTTCTCGAGCATGGCATGTACAGAAGCTGTGGCAAGCATGGTGTCTTCTACTGTGTATATACTCATCTACAATGCTACTATAGAGACGTTTAAAGGTGCCACATTCATAGTCATAGCTGGGATGAGCGTGTTCTACACGATACTCCTTGGGTAGGTTGACATCGTGTGAAATGAACTTGCCTTAGAATGATTGGTTTTATTGTTCTTTAACTGTTTGTAGAACAAGCGACATAACGTGTTTTAGATCCATTTCAGCGAGTCTTTGATGTGAAGACGGTACATGACTGACTGAATTATTGGCAAACCCCTAACTCTGCTTGCCTGAGCAACAGGCTCAAATCACATCTATCTATCTATCTATCTATCTATCTATCTATCTATCTATCTATCTATCTATCTATCTATCTATCTATCTATCTATCTATCTATCTATCTATCTATCTATCTATCTATCTATCTATCTATCTATCTATCTATCTATCTATCTATCTATCTATCTATCTATCTATCTATCTATCTATCTATCTATCTATCTATCTATCTATCTATCTATCTATCTATCTATCAATCAATCTATCTATCTATCTATCTATCTATCTATCTATCTATCTATCTATCTATCTATCTATCTATCTATCTATCTATCTATCTATCTATCTATCTATCTATCTATCTATCTATCTATCTATCTATCTATCTATCTATCTATATCTATCTATCTATCTCTCTCTCTCTCTCTCTATCTATCTATCTATCTATCTATCTCTCTCTATCTATCTATCTATCTATCTATCTATCTATCTATCTATCTATCTATCTATCTATCTATCTATCTATCTATCTATCTATCTATCTATCTATCTATCTATCTATCTATCTATCTATCTATCTATCTATCTATCTATCTATCTATCTATCTATCTATCTATCTATCTATCTATCTATCTATCTATCTATCTATCTATCTATCTATCTATCTATCTATCTATCTATCTATCTATCTATCTATCTATCTATCTATCTATCTATCTATCTATCTATCTATCTCTATCTATCTATCTATCTATCTATCTATCTATCTATCTATCTATCTATCTATCTATCTATCTATCTATCTATCTATCTATCTATCTATCTATCTATCTATCTATCTATCTATCTATCTATCTATCTATCTATCTATCTATCTATCTATCTATCTATCTATCTATCTATCTATCTATCTATCTATCTATCTATCTATCTATCTATCTATCTATCTATCTATCTATCTATCTATCTATCTATCTATCTATCTATCTATCTATCTATCTATCTATCTATCTATCTATCTATCTATCTATCTATCTATCTATCTATCTATCTATCTATCTATCTATCTATCTATCTATCTATCTATCTATCTATCTATCTATCTATCTATCTATCTATCTATCTATCTATCTATCTATCTATCTATCTATCTATCTATCTATCTATCTATCTATCTATCTATCTATCTATCTATCTATCTATCTATCTATCTATCCATCTATCTGTCTGACGGTCTGTCTATGTTGTTTATTGAGAGAAGCAATGTATCATATTTTTTTTTTTTATCCACAGATTTATGATTTGTCTCAGAACGTCCAAGAAAATTGAGTATGAAACGCACACTGAAGGCCCTGCAGACGGGAAGACAGGTGTCTCCAGTAACGGTCATAGTTCATCAACATTGTAGAAATGTGACGGAAATCTAATGTAAACTGTTACAGTTTGAATGTGACAGAACAGAAAATTGGGTAATAATCTGACAAAATGTAATAGAATTCAGAAGATCACAGTCAGTTAAGAATGTGAAGAACGAGAAACAAAAAAGGTTATGTTATTACGACTGTGATATATGAGCTTGTCCATTATCAGTCGATAAAATGGGTGGCGGGTGCTCTTTAATTAGGAACGTGGAAAATAAGAACTGTTGCTCGGTTATGCTAATTTTTTTAAAAACAATTCCACAGAAATAATATACTCATACTGTATATAGTTCACTAAATTATTTATTTATTAAATTTACATAATTCGGAAAATTAATTAATGTTGTGTTTCATTGTAAATTAACGTTGATGTAATTTAGGTTTGAGTTTTGAACAACGGACCAACATCATAGCATAGGGTAAATTAATAAAGTAACAGAAAGTATATTGATAGGAACTCATAGAAAGAAGTAGAAAGATAGAACACACTAGACAACATAAAAATTGAAAGCTATAGTTACCGTGCCGGGAATTGAGTCTGTCACCTCCAGACGGCGAGTGCGCCTTGCCATGAAAAGAAGTGCACTAAGATACATGGTCAACTAGGCACCCCCCCTCCCCCCCCCCCCAAAAAAAAAGGTGTCTTATTGGCCATGTCTATCGTACAGCTTGAAATCCACAACTATGGAATACGGACAGAATTCATTTCAACCAATTGAAATGGCACCATTGGTTACAGAAATTTATATTAGCGAAGCAAATGTCAAATAACAATCACAGCAACAATTTACGAACACAGTAGATCTTATTGCTTTGTCTAGAATACACAAACATTTCAGAAAGGTATTTGATTGGTAGGTTCCGATGTGTATACGTTATTCCTTTAAATAAACAGAGGGGGAACCTTCGAGGCCGTTAAATATTATGAATTAATCAAGTAACAGAAAGTGTATTAATCGGCACTCACAGAAAGAAGTAGAAAGATAGAAGAACACACTAAACAACATAAAAATCACAAGTTGTGAGAAGTATGGTCGCCCACGCCAGTCGACAAGGCGTAGGATAATAATAAAGAGAGGATCCGCCCAGCACTTATGGTTCTGAATGGTTCAATGTTCAGTGATAATGATGTGTCGACTAACTTACCCACTCATCCCTTGGTTTATGGTTTGGTTTATGGTTTATACAACGATTCAACGTTCTGGCACACGGGTAGTAACCCATAAGTGCTCCTTTCTACTTCTAACTCAAGCCTGAGTCCGAAGAATCTCAGCGCAGTGTATGAACTCCGTAACACAGGCAAGGATCCTGAAATTTGGGTAGATTCAAATTCCCAATTTTGTCCGGGCAGAGCAGTTGAGCTTCTCTTTTCGATTTCCAACTGCCAAAGGATTTTGTTTACGTGCTCATCAATACATATCCGAATTTACTACCCAGAGAACACGGGAAATTACCCCCAACGGGGCTTGAACTCGGGACCTCCAGCGCTCGAGGTAAATGTCATGTCTCGAGACCACTCAGCCCCGCCTCATCTTGAATGGTGCGATGTAGAAATTGATACTGGGGCTTTTTCGTCTTTCTTAAGAAAAAGTCGCTTGGTGAAAAGTTTACACGCTTTGGTGACATTATATACAATCACTGTGCCCGCGATTTCGGGGCAGTTGGAAAGATAAGCTGGCGTCAGGTAGGAGCGGATTCATGTCGAATATTAGAGTTCCACTGTATTCGTTTTCGAATGCATTTTACTGACTGACTGACTTTCTACCCCACTAGGACATCACGCATGCGATAAACACCCGATGACACAAAGTGCCACCATGTGGATGAGAATCGCCGTGGAGAGGTCCCAGAAACCACGTTTAAACAATTGGCCATATTTATGGCCTGCTTATATTGCGGCCCCTGGAAACAGCCAGGGTGGGGCTTCAAAAAACAAAAAATAACAACAACAAAAAAGAGAAAAACAGGGGTGACCAAAAACAAGATGGAAACGAACGATGGAAAATGACCTGAGTGCGGCATCTTTGACACGGAAAACTGCATTGACGATTGCACAGGACAGGAAAGCATGGAAAGTCCTCTCTGAAGCCTTATGTACCAATAGGCATAACGAGAACTGATGATGATGAAATGAAGCTTTTCAGAAGATAAAACGAATCTTATGTAATAAGTCACTTTCATTAAACATCAGAAAACGAGTACTGAAATGTTACATCGAACCTGTTCTGTTGTATGGCAGTAAATCTTGGAATGTGAGGAAACAAATTAAGAAGGGTTTGGAGACAACTAAGATGTGGTTATTGAGAAGAATGTTGCTAATACCTTGGACTGCCATAAAACTCCTAAAAAAGACGAAACACGTAACTTTGATATATGCCTTTAAGTTCGGTTCCATGTCTTTAATCCTTTTCCAACTTACACTGGCATATGAACATTATTATTTACATTAAGTTGTTGAAATTTTACATTCACTCTTGCTTTGTAGAAAAGCCACCGTAACGTGGTGCTATACACCCACCTGCTAACTCGAAAGTCTTGGGTTCAACTCCGCACCTAGCGATTTAGGGTGGGTATGCGGTGCGGTGTGGGACTCAAACATGTACACCTAGCCTAAAATTAGTGCAAGGAAATTTCATTGGAAGTAAAAGTGGCCGGCATGATGTTGGCAACATCACCCTTATGTGGCAAATTGTTTTTAAAAAATGTGTCTAGAATTAACTGGTTATTGTACAAAAGGCGTGAACAGCGTCCTATATGTCTGTCTGTCTGTATGACTGTGTGTTTCAACAATGGTATCGAGAGACGACCTTGTAGAAGCAATAGCAAGCTAATTAATTCATTCACTATCATGTTGTGCCATTATATGTCACATAGGACTCGCAGTCTATTCCTCTATTCCGTTCTATCCTGTGCGATGTTCAATACCGTGAATAGAATCTAGTTTAGCAACTTTGGCCTCTCTCATCAACGTTCGTCTTGGTGTTTCCTCTTCGCGATCTCTCCTCCGTAATCCCTATGTATCTTATTTCAATGCCTGTTTGGTGATTCTCTGCCGGTTTGTTTTCAGGATGCGTCTAGCCTAGCACCATCTTCTCTGTCTTATAACTGTCGATACTAGTGGTTGCCCAGAAATGTATCTTATTTCTTCACTCCTTTTGAATTCATCCTATTTTATTTTTATCATTTTCCTCAGACATTAGTTTTTTTTAATGCATTTAACTTTCATTCCGTGTATTTAGTGGCTCTCCAATGACAAGAAACTACTGAACATACAATTCCATAGTGAAATCCCAAACTGAACCCCACAAAATTGTCAGGGTTGGCTCTGCCAAGCCCTTAGTGTAGAAACGCGCAGCTAACTGTATTTTCTGCTAAGGGAAGTAACCTATTTATTACTAAATATTTCCTTCTGTGAGAGTCGCAACATGTTCTTTACAGTAACATTTCACGGAAGAAGTCATTTAAAATTTCCCAACTCAGCATCAAGCTGGGAAGTTCAAAAATCCTTGGCGAATTGTTATACCTCGGAAATAAGGTTACTCCCGATGGATATTCTGAAAAGGATGTAACATCAAGAATCTTCTTCTTTTGTCAAAATCTGCTTGTGCCGCTAGGCGTCGCAGTCTATCAGATGATCGGCAACCGAGCCAGGGCGCGCTCTGTCGCTTCATATGCCGTGATGTTATGAAGTCTCAAGTTGTCCGCGACTCCTTCAATCCATATTCTTCTTGGTCTTCCCCTGCCTCTTGTTGTTTCGATTTTCATGTTGTATGCTCTTGATGCTGGCATCGTTGGTTCCATTCTCATTAGGTGACCAAACCATTTCATTCTTTGCTTCTCAATAAATTTAACGATGGGTATGGTTCCAATAGTTCTTGTAATCACATCGTTTCTCACTCGATCTCTTCTGGTTTTATTCGCAGCCATTCTCAAACATCTCATTTCACAGGTGGTTAGTCTTCTCTCGTGTTCTTTTGTTAATGTCCAAGTCTGACATTGATAACCTAATGTCGGTATAAAGATTGTATTTATAATTTGTCTTTTTATCTCAGCTGGGACAGCAGGGTGTTTTAAAATTGGGGCAAGCTGGTATGCGACATTGTTGGCTTGTTGGATTCTTGCTTCGATCTCTCTGTCTATTTTACCATTGGATGTAAAGATACTTCCCAGGTATTTAAATTCTTGCACTTGTTTTAGGCTGTGATCTAGAATCTTTATGTCGATGGTCTGTTGCTCTCTACTTATGCTCATGACTTCTGTCTTTTCAGTATTGATCTTCATATGATGCTTGAGGCAACTGTCGTGTAGTAGGTTTATGTGGTCTTGCAGCTGTTTACTATCACTGTGAAATAACATCAAGAATAAACAAAGCAAATCAAGCATTTGCCATGCTTAACGATATGTGAAAGTCAAAGGGATTTAGTTTAAAGATAAAACTCAGAATATACAAGAGCAACGTTTTAGGAATACTATTATACAATAGTGAATGTTGGAAAATGACAGCGGGAATTACACATAAACTTGACCTTTCAAAATAAATGTTTAAGGAAAATTCTACAAATATTTTGGCCAAACAAGATCACAAATGAAGAACTGAGGAGGAAAACAGGATGTGCATCACTGGCAAATGTTATCAATATAAGACAATTTGATGCCTCGGACCTGTTTGCAGAATGCCTTGTGACACTCTGGCTAAAAACAAACAGCTCTCCTGTGGACAACAGATGGGAAAGGGAGACATGGATGACCTAAGGGAACCTGGAGAAGGACAATAGAACGGGAAATCAAGTAATGTAAACTAACATGGGAGACCATGGGCAGAAAAGCAGCAGACCGGCAGCAACAGAGATCACGTGTGAATGCCTTATGTGTCAACAGCGATATGAAGAAAGTTGAAGAGGAAAAGAGGGACAAACAGAAAAGATACTGGACAGTTTGACATCATGGCATGGAAGATTATCTGTGTCTGAATTGACTGAATGTACATGTAACACAAGGTTGTGAATAGACATAACTACCAAGACTACATGGCAAGAACTATAAACAGTAGAAGGTATAGTGTGTCTGCATTTATGGTTTCAGAGTTACGAAGAAATAATAAAAATGAATTAGGCACAGAATAGAAAATAACTACATGTGAAATGTACTGTCTCTGCAAGTTCACTAGCAAAACTATACGAGACAAGAGTTACTAATATCAGAATTAGAAAGTTAGAATAAGACCATGTCTGGATTATAGGCCTAATGACAGACAAAGAAGGAAATGGTTCAGCCATCTAGTGAGAATGCAGCCAGACCAGACTGCATATGAGACTTTTTACAGTAGAACATCTGGGAGGAAGGCAAGAGGAAGACCAAGAAAGATAATGAAAAATGGAGTAGATGAAACCTGCAAACTGTTGAACAAATCCATCACTCAAGCCACTCGAGAAGAGCAAGACAACTACAGAAAACCCCACTACTGGGTTACAACCTAGTAACAGTGAGACGACAAATGAAGAAGAAGAGTTATGAATATGGTTCATAATTCAGAATAGCTGGTTCAATTCAGATGTAGTCCGCTTTATGTTGTTTTTAACAATTCTATAGAGTGCCAACCGTTCAGATTTGCAAACTACTGAAAGCGAGACCTTCACTGTTAGCTTCTGCCAAGTGATGATAGTGAACACACTATTTTGGGTGGCATTAATATTTTTGATTTCTTTGTTGAACTCTGTGAATTAAAATGCAAATTTTTGTCCTTATTTAATATCCCATTAGACTGAGTGTCTTTCTTGCACAAAAATATGAGATACATGCCAACGAACTAATGAAAACAGACACAGAAGTTTCTTTCAACTAAAATAGAAAGACAGCTCAAGTTTGGGTGTAACATATGTTTATTGAACTTTGTTTCTAAAGAATCAGTTCTGCAGTGTAGGCTCAAAACACTTCATGAACATATCAGATGAATGTGATGGGAGAAGCCCTTTATGGCAGAACCTGAAAATCATCAAAAGAGTAACGTAAGTTAATACATTTTTAAAAAAAAAAAAATAATTCACAGCATTTTCTGAATTTTTGTATTTTGCCTAGGTTCTCTAAAATATATGTTATGTAATTCCATTCCTGGATTGAAATCTTAAAATGTATAATTAATACTATGAAGAGTTAATATTGCTGCAATTAAGACACACTAATATGTGCTCAGTCTTCTCCCAGATGTCTGTAAAGGCTTACCATTCACTGTTAGATACTTTTTACAAGGAGATCTGGCCGACGCTCAACACTCAATGGAAAGGGGAGATTATATATATATATATATATATCAGACAGTTACTGGTGCCATCAGAATAAAAACTCTTCGTTTGCTGCTGAAGATGGGGATGGAGCGTTTATGGGATGTCTCGAGTGCTGTGATGTCACTTCTTAATTCAACATTCAACAAGAACATATAAAACTGATGGCACATTACCAGGAAAACAAAGAAAAAACAAAGAAAATAAAGAAAATGTCTAGTGGGGTGACTTGTTTGGGTGGGGTTAAGTAGGTCTGCAGGAAAGACATTCTCTCTTTTATGAACTGTTGACTGGTGAGAAAGGGTTGTGTTTGTTTTAAGTGGCTGGTTGATCAGGACATGCTGATGTCATCTGACTGTAATGCTTTCCTAGAGGAAGCGAAAAAATGGCTAAATAGCTTTCACGTTTGATGTCTAAGAAGAATACTCAGCATTTAGTGGCAAGACAAAATCACAAACACTGAGGTATTTAAAACAACAGATATAACAACAGTTTTATCAATGCTTAGTCCCTGATGGCTCAATTGGCTTAGAGAATAAAGAATGGTAGAATACCTAAGGACATCCTCTATTGTGACTTACAGGTGGGCACAAGATGTTGAGGTTGGCCTCAACTGCGATATAAAGATGGGTGTCAAGCGGGACATGAAGGATATGGGATGTAGATTCGTGGGAACAAATGCCATGGACCATGTTGAGTGGAGGGGGAAAATCCGGAAGGGAACAGGAACAAAAGAAACAATATTATTGCAGAAAGGTTAAGTGTCTGTGATGAAGCAGACTAAATCAATGGGATGGCAACAATAGTTAGAAATCGATGCTCTAACTGTGGAAGACTTTTTTAACATGGGCGGTCTTGCTAGTCGTGCTTACTGTTGTCTTGGGCTGTGATTGTCATGCGCCCCCTCACCCTCTGGTTGCACAAAAACAACAATTATCTAGATTGATGGAAAAGTTTCAGTTGAGATGGAATAGGAGAAGTAGAACAAGATAAAACTTAAGATTCAGATTAACGTGTTAATGTAACAACTATCTGCAATTAAAAAAAGAAGAGTCACAAATGTGCACTGCTTTGGGCTAACTAATGATTATATGAGTTGCATGGGAGTGAAATAGTTAAATCATCCATTGTATCATGGCAGTGAAATAGTTAAATCATCCATTGTATCATGGCAGTGAAATAGTTAAATCATCCATTGTATCATGGCAGTGAAATAGTTAAATCATCCATTGTATCATGGCAGTGAAATAGTTAAATCATCCATTGTATCATGGCAGTGAAATAGTTAAATCATCCATTGTATCATGAGTGTCATTTATTTTGCCAAAAGCTGCGACTTCAGTCAGACAGAGTTAAACTTTGTGTTGTATAAATAAGCAGCTTACCACAGGCAGACTGCAAGCTTCGCTGTTGAGTGTGTATGGTGTTGCCTCCCTTGGGTTGTAGTAAACCTCATCTGAGCACAGTTCTCGCTGAAAGTGATGTGGTAATCATGTTTAACAGAAATGTTAAAAATTTACAATTTAGCAATGTAGATAATGGCAACATAAAGGCCAATATCAATTTAGATTGAACTCTTTCACCTGAGAAAAAACCTGCAACAATGGGAACATTTGCCATGGACCATGTTGAGTGGAGGGGGAAAATCTGGAAGGGAATAGGAACAAAAGAAACAATATTATTGCAGAAAGGTTGAGCTTCTGTGATGAAGCAGACTAAATAAATGGGATGGCAACAACAGTCCTGAAATCCCATGTTCGAAATGTTTAAGACTTTTCTTAACATGGGCGGGTCATGCTAGCCGCGCTTACTGTTGCCTTAGGCTGGGATTGCCATGTCTTCCCGTAGCACAATACAACACTTTTGTCTGGACTGATGGAAAAGTGTCAGCTGAGATGGAATAGGTGGAGTAAAAGAAGATAAAACTAACAAATTTAGATTAATGTGTTAATGTAAAAACTATCTGCAATTTAAAAAAAAGAGTAAAAAATGTGCGCTGCTTAGGGCTGACTAATGAATATATGATGAGCTGAATGGCAATGAAATAGTTAAATCATCCACTGTATCATGGCAGTGAAATAGTTAAATCCTCTATTGTATCATGAGTGTCATTTTTTTTGCCAAAAGCTGAGACTTCAGTCAGACAGATTTAAACTTTGTGTTGTATAAATAAGAAGCTTACCACAGGTAGACTGCAAGCTTCGCTGTTGAGTGTGTATGGTGTTGCCTCCCTTGGGTTGTAGTAAACCTCATCTGAGCACAGTTCTCGCTGAAAGTGATGTGGTAATCATGTTTAACAGAAATGTTTAAAATGTACAAGTTAGCAATGTAGATAATGGCAACATAATGGCCAATGTCAATTTAGATTGAACTCTTTCACCCTGAGAAAAAACTGCAACAACCAACACTTCAGGCTGGGTCAAATTCTCCGTAAATGTCACTTTTCCAAATTTTCTATAGGTACCTGTTTACCAGATCACATTTAATGCTATTGACTGTTTTCACACTTGCACACGCATTCGGAAGGTCAGGATATAAATACGTTAACTCAAAATAGCACTGGGTAGGGGGTTAGCCAAATAGCTTTTTTTTAAAGTCAAGTTAACACAAAATGTTCCTGTCAACCTCAGTGTTAGAGGTTATGAGCTGACAGTATTCTCACCCAATACACATGTTTTATTAGGTCCCGGGAATGCATTTCATTTAAAGCTTCAATCTGTCTGTGTTTATGGATTACTCCTTTTACATATTTAAAAAAAAAAAAAAAAAACGTAGAATACTCCTTCTTTTCTCTACTCTTGGAATGTCTATCGGCACCACGGCTGAAAGAGATCTCTGGAATTGGCCCTTCTCTTCACTTCATATAAAGTACTTTTCAGTGTCTCTGATATTTCTGCTGTCCAGACTAGGAGTGGTCGACCTCTGGCTCTGTTACCATACTATCTGTATAACACTGCTCTCTGTAGTGCCCTATCTGATGCCAATTTTATTACAATGCCAAACCATTTGATTTATTGTCTCTATAAAGTTCAGTATTGGTTCTGTGGAGACTCTCCTTCTGATATCATTCCTAAGTCGATTTATCCTCATTACACCTAGCATAGTACGTAAACATTTCATTTCTGTCGTGGCTATTTTTCTCATGTCTTCTGAAGGCAGTGTCCATGTTTGACATGTAGAATACATTTTACTAATTTATTGGTTATCTCTGCAATATTTTTTTTTTAAACCAATTTGTTTATGGAATTCTAACGGGGGTCATGGCCCATTTTTTAGATGTTCCTGGGATGAGAGGGTTAACAAACTTGTTCTATCACATAAGCATACTTTCTAATGACATAGAATATTCCTTGTATCATTTTTAATTATAAAATTATGTTGATCACAGTGTTATGTGTACCACACACACAAAAACAGAACCCTATGTCCTGGCACTTGTGGCAGTTTTGAAATGTGCTGTCCGCATTTCTTGATAAAGTAATATGCTTTGTGTAATTTAGTCAGTCTTACGTTGGCGACTTTGCCTTCCAAAACATTTCTATTTTATGAGCCTAGTTAATTAAAAAGTAATGTGGTCATTACAAAAATGCGAATTTAAAATAGATTTGATTTCAACACTACAGAACATGCAGGCAAGTATACAAGGCTGTCACAGTTCCCTGGAGTAGCATTAAAGGTCCCTTTTCCAAACCTTTAGGCATATAGGGCATATAGGGCTAGACCTATATTTTTTAGACCAATTGGCACAAGATGGGTGATGTGATCAGCATAACGACAGTCGCCTTTACTTCCCGGGACTACACCAGTACCCACTCAAGGCTGGGTCAAACTGAGAGACAAAGTCATTTAAAAAGAAAAAGGACCGGCTCTGCCAGGAAGCGAACCCATGACCTTCCAATCCGCACTCAAGCGTCTAGCCGCTACGCCACGGCGACTCCCTAAAGTAGCATGTAGTTTGGAAAAATAACAGGTAATTAAGCTGAATTAACAATCAACATTACAGCACTCAGGACATTCTCATAAAGACTCCATCCAAATCTTCAGCAGCTAGCAAAGTGTCCCGATGCCAGTGGTACCAGTTGCAGTTTGATTATAGTCCATCCTGACTTTCCTCTAAGTGTAGAGTGTCAGCAGATCTTACCACTGTCTGCTACAACATCCTCTCCAGACCATAATGATCTTTTTACGCTTCTGCATTGTTCACTTCTTTTCAAACAGTTTTGACTACATGTAGCTTCTCAGTGGTAGCTATTGCTAATGCTTCCAGAACTGCTATATCAGCACCATGTTTATGTGTCTCATGGTAGCTCAAGAGGAAAAAAGATCCGAAAAATAACTCACCACTGGAGCATTGGCATCCACAGCACACAGTTTGTTGGTCTCCTGTTTTCACATCATTTTGCGTGCACTGACTTTCAGCATAGGTAACGGCATAGAATCTGTAAATGATTCCATTTACCACCTGCAGTGACAGAAACAAAAATGAACTTTAATTTACTTTACTAGAAAACAAACCAATCAGAAGACAAAGTAAAAGTCTCCATGGACATTTTCTGATGCCCATTTAAGGTTAGGTCAACCTGGCAGCCAAAGTAAATTTTTCTCAAAATCTGTCCACTTTGAACTCCAGTTTAACACGTTTTGGGCCAGGAGATAAAGATCTAGCCATTGGATTACTGTGACTTCCACTGTGCTAGTTACCATATGCATACTCTACTGGGAACGATGAATTAGGAATTGACATCACATCACTCGGGACACTCCCATTAGTGCTCAGTCCCCATCTTCAGCAGCAAGGGAAGAGTTTCAATTCCGAAGGTGCCAGTAACCGTCTGGTTGTATATCCATCTCATCCTTCCCATGAGTGTTAAGCATCGGCCAGATCCCCTGGTAACTGCTCGCAGCGCCATTCTCTTCAGATCATGATGATCTATCTGCGCCTATGCACTGTTCCCTCATCCCCAAAGGGCTCTCACAATATCTAACATGTTATACATCCATTCACAACCAAGTTGTGCAGAGCCAGCCATCTATCTGCCTGCTCATTTCCCAAAACACCTTCATGACCTTCAAATATCCAAAGGATGCTAACTACCTGGGACCTCTGAAGTGATGCTTGCCACTCTGCACGAAGCATATCTGTTTTCACCTTTCTCAACATGCTCTGTGGGTACTTTGCTGGGAAACATACACATTTTGAACTATGAAACACATATTGTACTAGGAAACAGAAGCAGAAGTTTTCACATTATACTGGTGTTGCTAAATACTGGAAAAATTTAATAAATCATCACCAGCAAAACATTAGGTTAATACTTAAAATATTGTATCATTTTAAAAACTATATTCAGTCATGGTTGATGTGGTGGTTATCATGCTAGCCAATTATACTTTCTGAAAACTAAGGTTCATAAGAAAAAAATATTTCCACCTCAAAGTGTATTTATACAAGTTATCATTGCGGCAGTAAACACATGTTTTAGTAGACATGTATAACAACAGCATTGGAGTGGTATGGGCCAAAAAATTACCAATGGTTAGGGAAATAAAAATAACGGTGTGTTTAGGAAAAGCCTGGCAAGTATAGAAAAAAACAATGTCTAAAGACAACTGTAAGGAGAAAAACTGAATTGAAGGCATATTCAATATCAATGTTAACAGTGCTAATTAGACCAGGATATATATCAATCAGATGGATAGATATCTGTTGTAATCTTATATTTCAATGACACTGAAAAGGGGTATGAATTTCATGCTAATTACAGTGTATCAAGCATTTTTGAAATAATTTCTATTTTATCTAGATCTTTTCTTTTTTTCTCTCTTCATCCAGTTACCTCAGTGAAGTGCTGGGGGGAGGTGGAAGATGTTCTACGCCAATTTGTCTTCATTTCTCTTAAAGTAGCTAAAAACTGTAACAGTTTTTTTCTTCTTAATTAAAAAAATCACACTAAAATCGAATATAACTGTTTGTAGAAAAAAATCTTCAGTAAAGACCCCTGCACAGTTCTTTACAAGGAGAAAAGATCGTCATTATCGACTGCCTTGTCTACTGGCATTGCGATTATGCTTCTCTGCATTTCTGCTAGCATGTATAATTTCATGTGTTGACACCCTTCTATACCATGATAGAAAAGCTGTCAAAAATGTTCTTCTGTAGCCTACCTCTGATCCTTTCCCCATACATTTTTTCCAGTTGTCATATGTATCAGTTTATCTTCTTATGGTCAGAATATGATTATTTTTCTGATGAAATGAAGAAATGGTATAACAATAAAAGTAGCCAAGCTGATGTACAAATCTCACCTGTTTTGTGACCTTGCTAGCGCCAGTGGCCTTGAGATAGTACAAACCGTTGGATTTGGCATTAATTTTGCTCTCCAGAAATTGGACAGCTTTCTGTACATCTGGATCAGAAAAACTAACATCCACCTGACCTCCAACCAAAGCAGCAGGTGGGGCAGCTCCAGCCTTCTACAACAGAAAAGGGAATCAATGTTCCATGACATTATAAAATTACTGCTATAAATAATGGCAAATATAATAATTATTTTTCTCCAGGACTTTTTTTTTTCAGGGCATACACAATGGTACATAGTACTGGCATCTTTTTTTTTAGGCATCAATTTTTCTCAGACATTTTGTAACAGGCACTTTTTACTGTGTTTCGCAACCTTTTTATAGACACTTTTTAATGAATACCAGCACTTTTTTTATCTAGAAAAAGAGCCCTGTTTATCACTGAAAACTTCAGTAACATATTGAGTTAAAGTTAAACTCATGAGAATTGACTTCACTGTAAAGGGAATTTATCCTATATGACTCCATCTCTCTGTTTCTGTCTCTGTCTCTGCAGAATGACCCACCACCTGCTGAGAGCATAGCACACAGCACAAGCTCTGTAACTCTAGTGATGACTCCCAGAGATCTCCACAAAACTGCACTCATGAACCAAATAGCATAATCTGTGAAATGAACCTGTGGTCTTCAGAGAAATGTGCTTGCCCACTTGGAGATCTCTCACAACATATCAAATGGTAGGAAATGTTAGAGAGACACGATTTCTAGACCCTAATTCTAAACAGATGTTCTGAAAAAGGCGATGCTTGAAGACAACTTATCGCAAACATCACAAGGAGACAGTCCTCATTTTTTTAAATGTTATGAGAAGAGGGAAAATGAAACATGTTGTGATCTCTGAAAAGATCTGTGGAAAGAGAGACAAAAGAAGACAGCACGGGAAGCTTCATGAAATTCTCTTGTCATGGCATGGAGGGGTGTCAGCACACAAACTGATACAAGCAGTTGCAGATCACATATTGTGCATGACAGCTTTTTTTTTTTTTTTAGTTCCATCAAGGTGGTGGCCTCGTATGAGAGCCTCTTATATTCAGAACAGAAATCAAGACTGGTCTGTGGTCACTACCTGCAAGTTGGCAAAGCACCATTTTGTGAATGTTGCCTGCAAGTTTAAAGTATGAATTAAACTTAAAAAAAGTTTACACGCAAGTTAAGACACAGACAGCACGTTACAATGTTAACCTTTTAAGAGAAAAAGACATTGCCACTAAATTTAAAGTAGAACTCAAGAATAGATTTCAAACCCTATCAAGTGATCCAGAAACTCCAACTACAATCAGCATTCAAGACAGATGGAACCAGATCAAAGAAACATACAAAACAACTAGCAATAACATATTAGGAACCAGGAAACAACACCACAAAGAATGGATAAGTAGTCAAACCATGGACTATATTGCCAAGCGAAAAATAATAAAGAGCCTCATAAATCACACTAAATCAGAACGTCAGAAAGACAAACTAATGTTAGAATATAGCGAACTAAATAAAATGACCAAGAAAAGTGCCAGAGCTGACAAGAGAAGATTTATGGAAAATCTTGCAGAAACAGCAGAAAATGCTGCTAAAGCACATGATCTACAAACCATACACAAAATTACCCAGCAAATTTGCGGAAACAGAAACAATTATCACAGCATACCCATCGGAGATAACCAAGGCAGACTGCTCACCACAGAACAAAAACAAGACATGCAGTGGACTAAACACTTCTCCGACCTCTTGAACAGACCTGATCCTGAAAATTCCCCAGATATTCAACCAGCCTCTCAGGACATTGACATTATTACTGAACCACCAAGCAAACAAGAAATCCTTAAAGCTATCCACACTTTAAAGAACAACAAAGCACCAGGCAAAGACGAACTGCCAGCAGAACTTCTCAAAGTAGATCCCAACACAACTGCTAGCATTCTAGAACCATTGTTCAAGGATATTTGGGAAAAAGAAGTGTTGCCTGATGACTGGACTGAAGGAACAATAGTCAAAATCCCCAAAAAAGGAAACTTAACAGACTGCAATAATTGGAGGGGAATTACTCTACTCTCAGTACCAAGCAAAATATTTTGTAAAATCATCATAATGCGGTTTGAAAAAGGAGCAGATAAATGCCTACGAGTGGAACAAGCAGGATTCAGAAAGGGCAGAGGAACAACTGAGCACATCTTCGCCATACGTAACATTTTAGAACAATGCAACGAATGGCAGAGAAGTATATATATTAATTTTGTGGACTTTGAGAAAGCTTTTGACAGCGTCCATAGATACGGTCTTTGGAAAATTTTACATTATGGAATTCCAGAAAAAATAGTCAACATAATTGCTCTCTTCTATAAAGACTTTTCCTGCAGTATAAAAAATTACAATACATCTTTCCCAGTAAAGACGGGTGTAAGACAGGGATGTGTTATGTCATCTCTCCTCTTCAACCTTGTGATTGATTGGATACTTTAGAACACAGTAGACAGGACATTAAGAGGCATACGATGGACTCCATTCACCATGCTTGAGGACCTTGATTTTGCAGATGATATAGCACTCCTATCACATAAACATGAACATATACAGGAGAAAAGTAACAGACTAAACTGCACAGCAGAAATGGTGGGGCTGAGAATAAATACAAAGAAAACTAAGATCATGACAAACAGTCCAAACCAACAACCAGTGACCATAAGTAACCAATCACTTGAAAATGTAGAACATTTCACATATCTTGGCAGTGTGGTGTCCCTACTGGGAGGGACAGAGGAAGACATACAGTCACGTCTGAACAAAGCTAGAGCTGCTTTTGGAAGGATGAGGCAAATCTGGAAATCCAACAATTACTGCAGAGGAACGAAACTCCGACTCTACAAGAGCATCATTTTGCCAGTTCTTCTTTATGGAGCGGAATGCTGGAGAATGACCAAAAAGGATGCACACAAGCTGTCCACCTTCCACCACACATGTCTATGAATAATTATCAAAATTTTCTGACCAGATACAATCTCAAACACTAAACTACTTCAAGCCACAAACCAAGAAACTTTAGACAGTATGATTACCAAGAGAAGATGGAAATGGCTTGGCCACGTTATGAGAATGACTTCTGATATACCTGCCAAAACAGCTCTCACATGGACACCAGAGGGAAAGAGAAAACAGGGGCACCCAAAAACAACATGGAGACGAACGATGGAAAGGGATCTGAGTGCGGCATCTTTGACATGGAAAACTGTACTGAAGATTGAACAGGACAGGAAAGCATGGAAAGTCCTCACTGAAGCCTCGTGTGCCACTAGGCATAACGAGAACTGATGATGATGATTTTTTGTATTTGTGAATGTTGCCTGCAAGTTTAAAGTAACAAACTTTAAGTCTAGGTGGCTGGTGGAAAGTCATCTCTGGAAAAAAGATGATGGGGAGTCAATTAGCTTATTGACTTCCCTGCTTCTTCCCATTTGTTCAGGTGCATTACTTGCTAGCTGGCTGGATTTTTTCATTAACTTTTATTTCCAGGTGTGAAGATCCAGGTCCTGGAGGTTAACTGCCATTTCCAAACACTTTCTACACACTCAGAGCTTTAAGCAGCTTCTGAAAACTCTCAAGTTCTCCCCTCAGCTGACAAATATATAACTGAGATATATAATGAAGTGTTTTTTTTTTCTTCATACAATGGATATTTCTATACAAATTAAATGGTTTTAACAAAGAAAAGAAGCTAATAAACACACCTCTGGAACACATGTAGGTTCTCCTAGCAGTGCGGGTTTGTCAGAAATCCATGGCTGGCGCAAGATAGAAACAGTGCACAGCTCATTCTGTAAAGAAAACTTAGAATTACAATGTGGTTTCAAGTGTTACCTGATTCCTGTGGTTCCCAAATTTGGCAGTACTGCACTCTTAGGAGTAGCGGACAGAGCCAAAAGATAGCGAGGAAGGGAAGAGATATTTGAATGTGTAGCAGATCCAAGAATGAAGTGGGTAACTGTGTCCCATAGATGTTTCATTGTAGGGGAACAGATCAAACTGGTTTGGGAACCACTGTATAAAAGAACATATTTATGACATCACATCATCTGGCTAAAATAATTAACTTAAAATGCTGAAACAGCAACCATTTATTGTTGCATGTATACTTCTTCTTCTACTTCACCACTGATCAACATCTGCTATGCATCTATTCTAGTTACAGTCACAAACAGGACAATGTATCTGAGGTTTTCACTAGGGCCTCATAGTTTGTATGACAGAGTTTATTCCTGTCGGTCAGATTTCTTGTATCATGGGCTCTGGAATCTGCTTTATTGCTCCACATTTACAAGTTACATAACTAGTGGGATCTATTCAGTGAATGTGTTTTCTGCATTTACGGTATACTGTTCTGTGCCTGAAAAATTAAGGTCAGAATTCTGGACTGCTAATTTCTTCCAAGTTTATGAACACTCTGTTGCTTTAGTCTGTACTTTTCATTCTTCTTTCCATTTCAACTCATATGTTGTTTTAGGGGTGGCTTTGCCTCTTTCAACACTCTGGGACAGTTATGACTGTGCACGGTTTTATGCAGCTGTTGCTAGTTCATCTCTTGTAATTTCCAGAGATATGACTGTAGGTTCATATCCACTGCGTAACTAGTTTTATTTTGTAAACATTCTGTTTACTTTCTTATTTCATTTATTCTTATTATGTCAACTACTTTTTATTTTTCCTGTCATTTTTAGTTTTTACTGTTTCTCATCCATTTTGTTTAAGATCCCCATTTTCATCCTCATTTCATAGTTCTTAACCTCTGATACATATCTTCTAAATATAATTAGCTATTATATTAGAAATCTTATCCTGTCACGGACAAAATAATTAGGCAGAGATTTAAAAAAAAATCAAAGTGGTATGCTACTTAAGTCCGCATCTCTAGCTTAGGCGTTGCGAACGAGCTTCATAATGTGGGAGTGCCGGGTTCGATCCCAGCTGCGGGCCTTGCGCTGGTTTCGACAGTGTTATCGAGAAACCGACCTTCCAGAAAGCAATAGCAAACTACTGGATGTAAATTTGCCTAGAAAAACCACAACAACAAAAATGCTAGGGTTAGTTCTGCAACGTCCTGTAAAGGATACTAAACTAACTTAATGCTACTTAAGGAGTGGTATGAGTTCACTCTTTAGTAGACAGAATTTCTAATAAATCAGTATCAGAATTTAGTTAAATTCCAATGACTAGCATGTTGGCCATATCAGTAGTCGTGTGATATTCAGTCATCAAATACATAAGCTAAGACTGCATTCAAAATTCATTAGAATGTCATGTGAGTAGTAGAGCTTTACATATTGCAACACCAGCACACGCACAAATGCAAAAAAAAAAAGTTGCACAGAAAATAAACAAATATAATCCATATACAAAAATAAGACCATATAAATTCAAAATACAGTAACATATACAAAAATGCCAGGACAAAATATAAAAAATTTTTTTAATAATGTAAGCATATGACAGATTTTTATGCCTTGACAAATACTGGCCCGAGGTCCCTATTTTTATGATCCTTTTAGCACACAATGAGTAATGGGGTTAAAATCCAACTATGTTACTTCCAACAACAATTCATGCACTCATTTTAAGACTGGGTTGTCCTGGCAACCCATGTCATTTTGTCTTTAAAATTACCATTAATTGGGAATCATTGTTTTATAACTTTATATATAAATGTTAAAAGGTAGCAGCAAAGCACAGGTCTGTTGATGTCGTCATCTGGCTCAGGTCCCAACCTTCTTCACTGCACAGGGGTGGGGAAATTGTTAAAATAGATGAAACACTTACAGGGCTATTGAATTGGTGGCCCGTGGGCCAAATCTGGCCGGCAGAGACATAGCAAGTGGCCTGTGGATCACTGCCATTTCTACTGTATTATCAATCTGTCTATGCTAGGGCTTAATCCTCTGGCCTGTGAAGATCCTGGCTTTCACAACACAATTTTGATCCCAGAGTAACTTCAGTTAAATATCCCCGATTTACAGCGTCTTACTGTACCTTGATTTTAATGACTCCCCCTTGCTACATTGTGAATCTGATAAGAAGAAATCAACAGGGACCCAAGAAATTGTTCTTCTTATCCGACATTCCTCTTATTCAAATAAGAATTCAAGCAAGAAATTTGCCACATCAGAGATCATCTTAAGTGGTCTGCACTGTAATGTTAGAACTTACCGCATCACCACCTGAGACTTTGATTGTGTATGTGTATTTCACACCAGCAACAATCTGGAAGTACAAATGTACATAAGAAATAAAATAAAACACAAACATCTATTATCAGGGTCTTGTATTTCTTCGGGGGAGGAAAAAACAAATGGGTAAGTATACAGTGGTGTGTGTGTGTGTTTTTTTGTGTGTTTTAATTATGCTTTTAAAAGCTGGTTATATAAGCTTAAAAATCAATTATTATCCAGACAGTAATACCAAAGACAAAATTTACGAATTGTTAAAAAAATAAAATATAAAGCATTTACATCTGCAAGTACACTGAAAAATACCTTGCTTTTTACACATAAAACAATTTCTTTTTACTTTTTTTTTTTTTTATCAAACAGAAAATAATGAAAAGAACTACAGAGACATAAACTTTAGAAAAATGCTGTTAAATCTAATGTAACTGATAAAAGGACAAGAATATTAATCAAAAATTACCAAGTTATAACGTACACAAAATTATCACCAGCAACAAGGATTAAACAACAAACCAAGAACAATGTTTTTACTAGAAAATAATTTCAAAGAATATTCAAGAATCAACTGGTTTGGCTAACTGGTCAGAATGAAACAAAATTAGCCAGCAGCTAGAGCATTCTACATGACAACAGACTACAAGGCAAGAGGCAGATCAAGAAAGATACTGGTGAATAGAGTAAAAGATACACTAAAGAAACACAATATGACACAATATGACATAACACAACCTATACAACTACAAAAGATGTTCACTGTTGCCAATGTGCTGGATAATTATACCTGAAACCTCATTATTTGTGAGTATGATTTGCCAAGCATTTTTCTGAAAGATTGCATTTCCAGTGCTTTTGTATCTTCTTTTTGAGTTTTGACTGCCAAAGGTGGATGGAGGGAACTGATCAGACAACAGCAACTGGTGACCCAATATCACGCATTGTTACGAGATGATGATGATGCAACTACCAAAGATTTTTTTAAATACACCTAACTCGTCTATGTAATACTTTATGGCATAAACAGTAGGACAAAAGAAGAAAAAGAAGGAACAGCAGATATTCTACAAGCAAGAAGTAATCAAGTTTCACTGTATATCTGTGGTGAAAGATCACTGTTCCATTTCAAGACAATGAAAATGTTTGATTGAATTATAACAAACCAGTAGTGCTGTTATTATTTTATGTATGACATCTAGCAGTAGAAACAACCAGAATTTTAAACAGCGTTGGGAACCATTCAAAAACAGCAAAAAAAAGTATCCACCAAAGTTTTTATTAACAAAGAAAGCAGGTTGAACAACTTGAAACATAATAGATTATGTAATAAAGCAATCCTAAGGGATGAAAGAAAATAAAAAAACAGTAACAATAATTCATCATAATACTAATCAGATCAAGTGATTGCTATCTTCCTTATGTCAGGTGATAAACTATTGTTTCTGTTTTTTTTTTTTCGTTACTGTTTTTTTTTTTTTTTAATCTTAATGTTAAGTTAGTCAAGAGGATCGACTTTATTGCACCAGGTTTTAAACTCGATGGCTCACTTTCCGCAAAATGACTAGCTGCCTGTCGAGAGCAGTAGGATTACTGTATTGCAGGACCAGTTTTGTTTCTTTAGTCAAGCATTTCTGTTCTATTCACTGATAAAGACTTTGGTTTAAAAAACGTTTACCGTTTTCAGCATGTTTCCCTTCAATGTTCTTTTTGGTGCTTTTTTTCCCCCCAATCATTCTTCACAGAAGCTACACAGCAGCCAGTCTCATCTTCACCCTAATTAGGCCAGTTACCTCTGTATGATCATGACAATCTTGTAAGACCACAAGGCGCATTAAACTGGATGAATTCAGGAAAGGTTGGATATAGAAGAAATAACAGACATTGGTATCAACAGTTATAAGACAAAGATTGGGACATGCTGAGACCATCATCATAAGAAGCAGGGGACAGTGAACTCCAGCAGGCAATGAAATGAGAAATGAATGGACTGAGGAAATTATGATGCCCAAAAGAAACCTTTAGACGAATGTTGATGGAGTGACCAAATGTGTTGAACTGGATTATATCCATGAAATCTAAAAAATTTTACGAGAGGGAAGACATAGACTGCGGGCCCTATGTGACACATAAATAGCACAAAAGGATGACGATGATGTTGATAACGACGACAAAGATGATGATGATGATGATGATGATAAGGCACATCACAGAGTAAATAAAACAAAAACTAACATACCTGTGAAGTGGCTGAGACAACTTCTACACCAGTTCTAAGTCTCTGGTCACCATTGGTTTTGTACAGCTCATTAACAGCATTCAGCGCAAGCACGACATTGGGATCTGTCAGGCTTACATTCAATGCATGCTTTCCGCCTGGAATATCTTGGCAAGTAATGAATGGCAGGGCTGTTGCGATCAACAATAGTATCTGCAATTTTAGCAACAAAACAGTTGAAATTTTGTTATGGTGATTGTCAGGATACAACAAATGATTGCCATGTGCCCTGTGGAAAAGTCCAGGCAATCATGGTTTGACATCTCAGATCCATCAGCCTCTTGGAAAAGGTCTTTGTTTTTGTCCCATTTAACTCTTTCAGTCTCATATAGTGTTGAATTAAACAGTTTCTGTGATACAGTTTTTGTATCCTAGAGCAACAATTTCTTTAGTCCAAGAGAATTGAAAAATACATCTTTTTGGGAGAGGTGTTACAAACAACTGGAAAATAGGGGTTAACATAACAGAAGAATGGGATAAGAAAAGTAAAGATATGTGTTCCACATGTAGTGTAACCAATAAATGTATGGTGAGTTCCTTGCTACTGAAAAGGTTGAGCCATTTTTGTAATGCAGTTATGTCATTCATGTATTTAACTGTCTTCCCCTTTTGCATTTCTTAACATGTTTGCCAGTTGTCACTGTTTCTGTGCTATTTCTATAGGTTATACAAGATAGGGATCAGATCTGCAGGAAGACCATAGCTATGCTATAAGGACGTATACAAACGCGACCTGAAAAATATCAACATTGAAATAGACACTTGGGAGAGATCATCTGCAGACGCAGACTGACTCCTTTGGAGTTCTAGTTCCGATGGTACCAGTAACAGTCTGATTGTATATCTGTCTCATCCTTCCCCTGAGTACTAAGCGTCGGCCAGATCCCCTGGTAAGTCCTCGCAGCGCCATTCTCCTTAGACCATGATGATCTATCTGTGCCTCCACGATGTTTACTCGTTCCCAAACGGCCCTCACAAAATCTAACTTGTCATACCTCAATTCAGCACCGAGGGGTGCAGAGCCAGCCAGTGTATCTGCCTGCTTATTTCCCAACACAACGGCATTTTCTGGAGAAAATATCCAAAGGATGCTAACTACCTGGGATCTCTGAGGTGATGCTTGTCACTTCTGCAAGAAGCATGCCTGTTTTCACCTTTCTCAATATGCTCTGTGAGTCAGTTACAATCACGGCATGTGTGTACAGCTGATTCTCAAGCCGGCGGTAGGCAGCAGAGACTGCCTCCACCTCCATTCTCAAACTAGACTTTGTGATATCACATATATCATAGTGACTGATGGTTCCTACAACATTAAACAAAATAGTGCACCCCAGAAAGCCCTGTCACTTGTACACAAGAGAAACAGAAGTTGAGGCCATCCACACACATGATGGACAGACGTAGTAAATTATGCTGTGAATACCAGTATCTACATAGCGCACGCCAAGGCTCTCATATGTTTTTTACCTTATGTTGAAAGGCCAAACAGTATAGAGAAAAAAAAGAAGTAGAAAGTGATATTTCCACAGTAAACATTTTTCATGGATTCCCAGGAGAGTGACTGTATATTCTGCTAGCTTAATGTATGGTTACATTTTTAACCCAACTAGATTTTTTATGCCCTTTAACTTGACTGGTTGGTTGACGTTCAACCCAACCAGGACATCACACCAAGCGATAAACACCCGGCGATACAAAGAGCCACCATTCGGATGAGGATCACCCGGGGACAGTTCCCAGAAACCCCGTTCAAGACAAAGGTTGGGTTATATTAGGGCCCCCGGTAACAATCAGGGTGGGGCTTTAAAATAACAACAACATTGTGTCCAACTTTGGGAGGCAGGTTTAAATCTTTAACCCTTTAACTCTTTCATCTTCACATTTATATAGCCTTTAGAGATGTGCACACAGACAAATAGGTCATATTTTATTAAAAGCAAAACAATTAAATATACAGAGATTCTGAAGCCTCTGTGAATTAAAAGAAAGTTATGAAAATCACAAAAGAGAAGCAGATCACATATTTTAGTCACATTAAAAGGCACAATTAATAAAATCCATACTTTAGGGAAAAGATAAAGGTGTGCGAGCAAGAGGTAGATAGTTACAAATGGGCCAATAACATCAAGAGATGAACGAGCGCCATTTTGAGAGCGTACTGCTTCTGCTGCTACTACTACTACTGCTACTGCTGATACTATACTACTACAGCTACTGCTGCTACTACTACAACCATCACCACCACATGTACTACTAATACTACTACGCAGTGCCGTCTCAACGCATAGGTACTTGCGCGGGCACAAGAGCATGGAGCATGCTAATCTGTGTATTAAGTTGAGTTGAGTCAAGAATTGAAATCACAGCACTCGAGGCATTCCCATGCATGCTCCTTCCTCATCTTCAGCAGCCATCGCAGAGTTCCAGTACTGAAGGTACGGATCATAATCTGGTTAAATGTCCGTTTTGCCTTACCTCTGAGTGTAGTGAGCCGTCCACACCCTCTGGTTACACTTAGGTGCCTCATTCTCTCCAGGCCAAATAATCTTCTTTCTCCACTGATTCTGTTGCTTGTTCCCAAAAGGCCCTGACCACATCTGCCTTGTCATGTTTCAATTCACCAGCCCGGTGATGCAGATCCAGCCAATCTGTCCGTCTGTTCATTACCCACCACGCTTGCATAGCCTGAAGAAAAGATCCACAGTATGCTCACTACCCGTGATTTTCCAGTGAAACTTGCCACTCTACTCTCAGCATATGTGTCTTCACATTTCTCAGCCTGCTTTCACAGTCTGTTACAATCACGACATGTGTATGCATTTTTGTCTCTAGCCACCAGAAGCTGCAGTTACCGCCTCCACCTCCATTCTCATGCTAGATATTGTGGTGTCATATGCTAGGCTGTCTTGCACTAAAGTTTTCCAGTGGCTTTCGCTACGAACTCCCAGGCACTTCTCTCTCCTGTCAGCACCGTATGCCTTTCCACAGCACACTTTGCCTTTACCTTTACCTTTCAACACCGAACCATCTGTATAGATAATCAGATCACCATGGCGTGAATTGTCGTGAATCAATTGTTGAACTTCAACCTCCGTAGCACCCGCTGGCCACTCTCTGCACACCCGGCCCAATGTTATCATAACCCCACAAAGGTAAAAGTTTTCCACTGGTACTCTGACCCACTCTTCTCATCGCCCAGTGTTGTCCAGCGTGTATACTTGTCTTATCGTGTCTTCTGCCTGATCCTGTTCAACCTCTGATGTCCACCATGGAGGCTGCACAAAAGTAGATCTGCCGGCCCTCTCACATGCTGTCTGTCGGAGGAGTTAATCTGTGTATCTCAAATGGCATATCAATAATTCCATTCCTTTAAGCGGTTGCAATAGGGACCCCAGCACGCCGGTTTGCCAGGAGCCATTAATACTGTTAAGACAGTAGTAATTGTCAATCAATGTATGCTAATGTGTAATGTATCAAATAAGCTAATGTCTTTGATTTAAAGGCAAGCCAAGAGAGATGCGGCAATCTTGATGTATTCATAATGAAGGAAAGTGATAAATCAAGTGAAGCAGCCAGAAGGGGGAAAAAATACATTTAATTAAACAAAAAATTAACTTTGTTTAAGGAGGATTTTTACTATGGAAAATTTCATAAGTGCTTTAGTCTCCCGGATGTACACCAACGAGAATCTCGCGACAGTGCGTTAACTCTACAGCACGGCAAAGATGTTTAGATCATTTAAATATTTTTTTTGTTGGTCTGTCCGGGGCAAAAATACAAATCCTAGCCTGCACAGTTCATGGCGACTGCACCAGTCGTGTGCAACTCCCCCCCCCCCCCCCCACTCACAAACACTCCCTTTCTCCACCCCAGTACAAGTGGTAAATACAGGCAGTAAAGAAAGTTAATCTAATTCTGTATCGCTTACCGTCAGTAACCATTTCAACCACTCACATGAATAAAATGTAGGTTAAATGGTCGATAAAATTAAAAATTGGTCCTATTCACGTTTTCCGGTCAATCTACACACTTTCTCAGTCTGGTCTAAGTCAGAGGGGTGTCACGTTGTACTGTTTTCGAAGAAAAGAGTCTCTCGTGAGACCTAGGCTCAGGCCGTGGGTAGGGTGTTTGGGTTAGGGCCAGTTCTAGACGTTCTGGGGTCGTTAGAATCTGTCTCGTCTTGAAGTATAGAAAACGCGACATCGGCGCTGATGTGTTTGGAGGGAAGACAACGTCACACCCCTATGACGTAGAACAGTCTGATAAAGCCTGAATGGAAGGTCAGCCAGTGTGTAGATGGGCCGGAAAACGTAAATAGGACCTAACATTGCCCCCTCCCCCAGGAAAATATGTGTGTGTGTGTGTGTCCATTGCACTCGGTGGGTGTTGTGGTTAATATTACATCGACCGCAGCCGTTACTTCCATCGCATTTTCCCAGTACCCAGCGTAGACCCGCATATCGGCGACCGGGCCGCCCACTGGCTCGCCGGAAGATTATTGCGCCGGTCAGGACAGTATTTTGGGTCTGTCTCTTTTGATCGCATCAACACTGCATAAGTCCTTTCCATGGCTCTTGGTGACATGCTATGCTAAGCTATTAATTGACACACTTAACCTAGTCACAATTATAACCTAAAGCTCCCCTTTTCGGAGATTTTGATTGAACGTGACGATCCCCTCCTCCCCCAGCAATGCACCACCACCACCATCAGTTTAGACCAGGTTGACCTAGTAATCCGGGCCGGATGTGGGTGGAAATTCCAGCCCGTGACCGTATGGCTGGCAGCCAAATATACTGTTTACTAATCCGGACCTGTTCACGTTTCCCGGCCCATCTACACACTGTCTCGGTCAGATATAGGTCAGAGGGGAGTCACGTTGTACTGTTTTCTTCGAAAAAAGTCTCTCATATGACTTGAGTTGCGGCTGTGGGTGGGGGGGGGGGGGGGGGTTAGGGCCAGTTTTACATATGCTGGGGTCGTTGAAAGCTGTGTCGTCATGTAGTATAGAACACGCGACATTGGCGCGGACGTGATTGGAGAGAAGACAACGTGACACTCCTCCGACGTAGAAGAGCCTGAGAAAGTATGAAGGAAATGTTAGGCAGTGTGTAGATGGGCCGGGAAACAGAACCACTCATCCGCTACCACGACTCCCAATGGTATAAACACATGTGAATTGGTCCGTGCGGAACAGCGCATAAATGCATTTGAATATAAATGTTACAGACAGGTTCTAAGAATATCTTGGGTAAAGAAAAGAACAAATGCATCCATACGTCAAGAGCTGAATATTGAAGAGGGTTGGCTAGTAAAGACAATAAAACAAAGAAAATTGAAATATTTTGGTCACTTGAAACGTCATGGAAGTCTAGAGAGAACAATAATGGAGGGGTATATGCCTGGGAAGAGAGGAAGAGGAAGGCCAAGGAGAAGATGGGTGCAGGATGTGGCAGATGATCTCCAGATGGGTGTATCAGACGCAGGACATCTTGCTCATGATAGGAAGGTTTTCCGGAGGGTTGTTATGGCAGCAAGGTTCCGCGAGGGACATGCTACTGAATGAATGAATGAATTGGTCCGTGGCAGGGCTGCCAATTGGATTGTTATCAAATCCCAAGCTAAGCTAGCCAAAAAACCCAGCAATACAGATGCAAAGAACAATAAACAAATTTAAAAACCCGAGATTGATAAAAAGTACAAATTTCATAGTTTCGAAACGAAACCTTTACCCACTTTTATAAAAGGATATATTTTGTGAAAAACCCAAGATTCCAAAATCTAAACCCTAGGCCTCAAATACAAACCCAAATCTGGAGGTAATACCCATCATTGGTAGCCCTGGTCCGTGGCAGTAACAATAACACAGAGGCATCATCATCAGCGTGCCATAGTGTCGTCCCTCACTGCGATCTAACCTGCGCAATACTTTAGACATCACGTATGCAATCCAGTCAACCACCTTCGGCCATAGGTAACAAAGTTTGTTTTAGGCTTTCTTTTGGACCTTCCTGTTTCCTCAATCCATTTAGTTCTTCTAGCGTAGTGCGTATTTAGCAGTGCTGAATTATATGACATGCAATTTGACAGAGGCAACCCACTCATAAGCTGACAAGCTACAACTAAGGGCCCCACAATGTGCAGAGGCCTCAAATAATTTATATATTTGCCTTTTAGATATTTCTGTGATTTTACAAGCACATTTTATAAATATTTGTTCTACTATGAATTAATCGACAATAAATTTCGATTATCCATTATGTTTTCTCATATTAGCAGGTTAATTTAAAATGGTAGGGGTATCGGGGCTCTACATAGCCTAGAGACTCATCCTCATTATCCTTATCATGTGCCTTACCGAATGGCGTGGGCAATCATGCCTCTTTGCAATCTGTGATCAGTAGCTGCGTGTACATCAGTTCGTGTTGTGACACACCATGACAGAAGTCTGTCAAGAATCTCATCACGTTGTCTTCCTATGTCTCTCTTTCCACAGATCTCTCCAGTCGTAACAAAATGTTCCAGTTTCCGTCTTCTCGTAACATGACCACAATTTAATTACCGTCTCTTGATGTTTATGATAAGTTGACTTCGAGCCTTCGCCCCTTTCAAAACATCTGGGTTGCTCTTTTTGCTGTTTAATTAATTATGTGTATTTTTCTTTACTTAGAATGAATAACGGTCTTGTTAAGTCTAGATCCGGCTCCGCAGCTTAGGGATTTTCAGTCACATCTCTTCATTCTGTTCCCAATATATTGCCATCTTCTTTTCTTACCACTATTACAAATGGTTGTCCAAATATTTCTCTTCTTTCTTCGCCTTTCTCGAAATATTGGGTAATTTGTGGCAGATTTAACGGAACACAGCTCAAAAATAGAAAACAGAAAAAACAAATACAACCGAACGTTTCGATCATGGTATTAATCAACGACTAAAGGGAGAAAAATCATAAATCAACAAGCAAACCGCAATGAAGGTCACATTAGATAAGACATTTTAAACATTAGCTCTATAATAGTTGCATAACTTGAGGTGTCGAATCATAAATTACGGCATTACACATTATAAAACCTCCAATAGTTGGCAAGCTTGAATTTGTATTTTCTAAATATTAACTAAGTTAAATGTTACCTAAGAAACTAAGTTAAAGTTACCTTCATGATTGAAGCTTCAGTGATTCTTCCGTCGGTATCTGTGTTGTGCGTCTGGTTAACTTTTGTTCGTTATCTGAACGCTGAACTGGCTGTCTGATTTATACTAGGAGCGGCAGTAGTAAATAAGGTCCAGGTTGACCGATTAGTCACTTACCAAAAAGTTTTAGTCGGCAAACAAAACATAACCCCTGACCTCTGTCAGATAAGCCTGTCGTGTCAAGCACAGGATGTCGCTATCTGTTGTTACTTGTCCTGGTTGTAACCACGGTATTCATGATTATGGCCTATTCACTAATGAAAGGTGTGTTAACAATAATAATAAGGCCCCCAAGTGAATACGTTTGTCTCGTGTTTGGAGATTTTGATGCTCAGTGATTGCTCCTGGTAGTCTGTTCAGACTCGTTGAATTGGCAGCACTCAGAAGACTACAAAACTTCAGCTAAAAAAAAAGTGGGGGGTTTGCCAAACATGAACACTACACGGGTAGCTAAGGAATAATAATAAACCAACACACAACTGGGGTTTCGGTCACCACATGGATATAGTGAAGATGGGATCCGAGCGCTTATGGACTTGTCTGATGTTCAATGATGATAATCTGTCGACTAAATAACTAATATCTGTCGATAATGTCCAAATACAAGATGCCACAGAGTAACATTAAAGCAATACAATGAACACGTAGCCGGAGGAAAACCGCGAATTTCATTGAAAGACGGTATCAAAAAACAACTTTGAGAGATAAAGACTAAATTACACAGAGTATTATAAATAATAATATCAAGCCGAACACTATCTTCAGGCCTTCGAGATACGGTTTTACAGATGAAACCTTAGAATTCCTTGGACAGCTAAGAAAAGTAACCCAGCTCTTTTGAAAGAGGCGAGTGCTCGAAGACATCATATCACAAACACCAGAAAGAGACAACATCATTTTTTGGCCATGTTATAAAAAGAGTAAGACTGGAACATGTTGTGACCTTTGGAAAGATCCATGGAAAGAGAGACAGAAGAAGACAGTGCGAGAATATTTTTGGGCTATCCTCCGAATAACGGCCACATATTATGGCTGCCAAAAACAAACCCTGACAGGGCCTCACTCACATGTAAAGTTCAAGTGCCACCTATGTAACTAACCCTACGAAACTGTTGACCATCATCTCTTTGAGTGCCTAAAAGTCAACGAGACTAGAAGAATGCTACTCCCTCCTAGACCAAACAGGTGGAACACCTTGTACGGAGGAGAAGAACAGGTTGTGGAAACATGTAAATTCCACTTCCTGGCATTGGGCCAAAGGGCGAAAGCTCATGCGCCACTGGATCAATAACAACAACAAGCGCCACTGGATCAATAATAACAACAAGCGTTGCGCGTAGTAGCGTTGAAGATACCCTCGGCGGTGGCTATATGGTTGCCGAAATTCCGCAATTTACATGTGACTGAAGCCCTGTTTTTGGCCGCCATAAAATGTGGCCGCTATTCGGAGGATAGCCCATTCCCGACAGCCTTATGTCATGGAAGGGTGTCAAAACACAAACTGATACATACAGTTGTGGGTCGCGGAATGTGGAGAGGCATGATATCCCGCGCCAGTCGGCAAGGTACTTGAGGATTACAAAGAGCACACAGGAGGTCCTTATATCAGTTATGTCCCCCCTTTACACCGCTGAGGTAACTAGATAGAATCGAAAATGGGACTTCTTCTTTATATCTCATAATTCATTTACTTCTACGGATGCTAATCAGTACCCGCGTATACTTATGAATATCATTATTTCAGTGATGTAAAATGTCGGTGTTTGTCATCTTTTTGGCCCATGGTATTGCGTTCGGTTTTGTTTGCTCAGGTCAGATTATCAGGTGGGTTGCCTCTGTCAACTCGCATTTCAGTTGCTGGTCCTTTATGGTTCCCCATAGCTTGCTTTGCACATTTTGCTCTCGAGGCCAGATTTCTTTTCGAAGTTGTAGGTAGAGTGGGCAGGTGTGCAGCATAATGTGCTCAGGTGTTTGTGGTCCTGTCAGACAGGCCACGACCGGCCGTGCCGCTGACGTCACGGGTCGGGCTAACGATGCGGTTTTCAAACAGGAAATAAACTATTTTCGACAGTGGCGAGGGAAGACAACTTAAATATTTACTATAAAGTACAGTATCTACATGCCATCTTTAATAATTTCACACGTTTTAGCCAAGGCACCCGCCGGAATACGCTCATGGCACCCCAGGAAGCATCGACACCCAGTTTGAGAACTGCTGTGTTAACGCATCGTTAGCCTGACCCGTTGACGTCAGCAGCAAGGCCCGTCAGTTGAAGCCGGTCGAGGACAGGCACACTGTGGGGACTGTACAGTCTCTATTTAATGCATGTGGTGGTTGATCCTGCAGTGTCCTGTTCGTACATGGAAGACTGATTTAAAAGCTCCATGCTTTTTCTTCAGCGATTGAGTAAGAATCCATGCCTCGCATCGACAGGTTGTCAGAGGAAAGATGCAGAGGATGTCAGAATTGTCACTTCAACTCGCTCGTGGGCGCTGTTTTCCATGCTGTTTAGTCTCTGCATTACTAAAACGAGTCAGATTACTCAACATCACAAAATGAGAGCATGGATTGTAGTGCCCTGCATTTGTTTGTCGTGCACTCTGAAAATTGTGGATTTGTTTCATGAACTGAGTCATTCATCAGTGCAATTTTTATGGAGATTCGCGGAATGAGGGGGTGAGGGGGTTGCAACTGGAGCTATAGAGTTTGTGCTGTCTGTGACGCTCCCAGCAGGCGGATTGCTTTACTATGGAACAAAACTACGCCATATGGGATAAAATGCGGTGCAATAAAGTCAATGTTCTAGACTTGAAAAAAATTTTTTTTAACTTTTCTATTTCTGAAAAATTGCATTTCAACAAAATCTCATGTCTGTTTTCCATATCAAAGACTTTTCGTGATCCAGTCTTGAAGGATTGACTTAACGAAAGCAAATAATTGTGCTTTTCAACTGATAGTGCTTAATCAAAAGTGGTTTTTCCATTTCATTGTTATCTCCAGCAGAACAAAGTTAAGTGTCAACAGTCTAACTCAGATAAGACGGATTTCAGCACAAACAAAAACGAATAGGTTTTTTCATATACAGTGCACGCAATGCACGAATGCCGTTGTGTTCTTTAACACACTTTATATCTGATAAGATAGAATTCCAAATGTATTGCTGTTAGCTTTAGTTCTTTGCTTCAACAGACAATGCTAAAGACATGTAGGTAAATGACAAGAAAGGAACATATTCATGACATTGGTGCATCAATTCATTCCCACCCTATGCTACCAGTGCCAGATATGGTCACTCACAACAAACCAGGAACCAAGCAAATAAGGTATATGAGAAGGGCTGCAGGAGTGAGAAAGTATATAAAAAGTAAAGGACCTTTTTCCACGCCCTTAGGCACATAGGGCATACAAGGCTGGACCTAAATTTTTATACACCAAAGGGCACAAGATGGTTGATGTGGTCAGCATCACGCCAGCTACATCTACTTCCCGGGAATGCACCCGGTACCCACTCAGGGGTCGACCTTGGAGTCAAGGTCATTTTTTAAGAAAGTCTGGCTCTGCCAGGGAGCGAACCCACGACCTTCTGATCCGCACGCGAGCGTCTAGCCGCTAGGCCACTCCCAGGAGAAAGCAAGTTATATCTTAAACGAGGTGATAAGAGAAAAAGTTGGCACAGGACCAATTCTAAATTACATATAAAGACAACAAATCAAATGGTTTGCCCACTTGGAGAGAATGCCCTGTGACATCTTACCATACAAGGTATTCACCAAAATAGATGGATTAAGTCACATGGTAGACCAAGAATAAGATGAAAAGATAAGATTTGAGAAACTTTACAATCATTAGCCCTGTACATCCAACACTACAGACACAATCATTAGCTATGTTTGTCCAACATTACAATCATTGGCTAGGCACATTCAACATTACAGACAATCATTAGCTAGGCACATTTAAGGTTACTGACAATCCTTGGATAGGTACATTCAACATTACAGACAATCATTAGTTAGGCACATTCAACATTACAGACAATCATTGGTTAGGCACATTCAACATTACAGACAATCATTGGCTAGGCACATTCAACATTACAGACAATCATTAGCTAGGCACATTCAACATTACAAACATTCATTAGCTAGGTACATTCAACATTACAGACAATCATTGGCTAGGCACATTCAACATTACAGACAATCATTAGCTAGGCACATTTAACATTACAGACAATCATTGGCTAGGTACATTTAAGATTACAGACAATCATTAGCTAGGCACATTTAACATTACTGACAATCATTAGCTGGGCACATTCAACATTACAGACAATCATTAGCTAGGTACATTCAACATTACAGACAATCATTAGCTAGGCACATTCAACATTACAGACAATCATTGGCTAGGCACATTCAACATTACAGACAATCATTAGGTAGGTACATTCAACATTACAGACAATCATTAGCTAGGTACATTCAACATTACAGACAATCATTAGCTAGGCACATTCAACATTACAGACAATCACTGGCTAGGCACATTCAACATTACAGACAATCATTAGCTAGGTACATTCAACATTACAGACAATCATTAGCTAGGCACATTCAACATTACAGACAATCATTGGCTAGGCACATTCAAAATTACAGACATTAGCTAAGTACATTCAATATTAGAGACAATCATTAGCTAGGTACATTCAACATTACAGACAATCATTGGCTAGGTACATTCAACATTACATACAATCATTAGCTAGGTACATTCAACATTACAGACACAATCATTAGCTATGTATGTCCAACATTACAGACAATCATTAGCTAGGTTCCTTTCAACATTACAGACAATCATTAGATAGGTACATTCAACATTACAGTCATTAGATAGGTACATTCAACATTACAGACACAATCGTTAGCTATGTATATTTAACATTACAGAAAACAATCATTA